CCACCTTGTCACACTGAAATTTAAAACTCTCATCATTTTCATGTAGCGCGAATCTTATACACCGAATGAAAGCGTTTCTAGGTGGATTCAAGTGGTTTGATTTCATGCCAAAAATCAATAGCAGCAGTAGCATGTATGGTGTTGTTAAAGTTCATAAGTTAGGATGCCCTATTAGACCTATAGCTGATTTGAGAAATTCACCTACTTATGAATTGTCTAAATATTTAGCTATAGTATTAAATCCTCTAGAAAGTCAGTCGAAATCTAGATTGACAAATGCTTATGAACTAAAACACAGATTAGATAATTTAAAATTAGATAATGAGGAAAAATGGTTAGGTTTAATATTGTCAGTTTATATACACGTACACCAAGATGCAGTCAGTAACGAACTAATTTCTGACCAAGAAATTGAACTCAGAACAAAACTGCCACTAAAAGATGTATTGTTAAGAGTGCACCGATTCCTGACTTCCACAGTATTTAAACTCCAAGGGAAAATATACAAATAAACTGAGGGAGTTGCCATGGGGTCACCAATATTCCTGGTTGTAGTAGATAGATTCATAAATAAGCAGGAAAATCTAGCGACTGAAATGTTCAGCCTCACTTCAAAAGTATGGTGAAGGTATGTAAATGACATATTCACGATACTTAGAACACAGAAAATAAATAGACATTTGAACACATCAACTCAAAGGCGAAGGCAATTCAATCCACTTATGAATTGAAAAGTCAGGAAGGAGAGCCTTCAATGTTAGATTGTAGCGTAAAAAGGAAAGAAGATTGGAAGTTACACACTAATGTTTACAGGAAGCCCACACTTTCAAACAGATATTTGGATTTCGGTTCAACCCAATGTATGTAAGTAGAAATAAGATTGGTAAAATATTTGAGTAAAAGAGCACAAAAACTGGTAATACCAAGGAAAATCGAAGACACGAAGTGAGACGTATGAGAGAGGCTTTGAAACTTAACAATCACCCCGATAAATTATTCAGGATGCATATAGGGAAATGTAAAAATAAAATTAATAAGAGTAGTAGTGATAGTAATAATAATACTTGTGAAGACATGCATGTTAAACATGCACAGGTTAACGACAACATCAACAATAAGGAATAAAAATCAGCAGTAGTACATCCGCACAAATAAGGAACCTCAGAAGCCCCAAGGAGAGTTCTTAACAAGGCAGGAATAAAAGTGGCTGGCTTTCAAACCAACCACAAACTCAATTAGAAGCCAGCTTTGTTGGTCAGAGGATCATGTGGAGCCAATTAAACAAGAGAATTTAGTTTATCTCATACCCTGCTGGAGGGACTGTCGGGTCAAATACATAGATCAAAGCGGTAGAACACGGGTAGTCAGACTAGCCAAGCATAAAACCTAGCGAAATCTAGATTAATTCACGTGAATAAGATGAGAAATCTGGAGAACATTTCAGCTATAGCACTAAATGGAATTACACACAACCATACAATAGGATGGGATAAGATGAGAGTTTTAAATTTCAGTGCAACAAAGTGGGAGGAGAGATTGATAACGGAAGCTTTACTTATCGAACCGACTGAATGAAATTATGTGGAATAGGAATTATTCAACACCTGTCCACCTTAACATCTTCAAAATTCTACTACGCGTACGGCGAATGAAAGTGAACAGCGAAAACTACAAGTCGAGAGTTTTGAAGTTTTATAGTTACGACTGATATGATTGTTTACAATATATAGAGTTTGTAGCATCATTCTTTAAATGACAATGTTTCATTTTGTGATATATATAATAAATAAGTCAATATGTAATTTTAAACTACTAACGTGCCCATGTTTTACACATACAATAATTTCGTAAACAGGTTTCAAATGTTCGACAGTAATGTCTATTTAGAGCTTCTTAATAGTTCAGAGGATTAGCGTATGCGTCATAAAACAGTATCTGGAACAGGACGTTGTAGACTTTCGTCGGCATTGATTTTATTAAAATATCTAATCATCAATTTTCACTCATGTATATAAATGAAGCAGGAAAATTGTGTGAGTAGTGTCTTGATATGATTATGAACAGGCAATAAATTGTGCTAGAAACGTTGTCATCAGTAGATATAACTTACTGTATAACACTGTGAGATTTATCAAATTAAAATCTTATCTATAATGGAGTTACACTCTACTATAGTGCCCAATTTTTATACTTGTGTCACGAAGATCTACATCATCTACAAAATAAATGGTCAAATTGAACGGCCGCATCAACATAAATTAGCTGTCAAAAGACACTACATATATTCCTCCATGTCAGTACATGCAGACCAACTGTGACCACTAGTTTGCTTGAGAAAATGTAGAAATTTAAAATAGTGGAGACCCTAAAAATACCTACTACCCATATTAATCAGCAGTTAACAGACACACTACTGTAAAGCAAATTCATGTATAATTTAAATAAATCTACCTCATATTAAAGCGAAATTGTCTAGAAGGACAATGGAAAGTTCACAATTCAATCATCCAGCTCAGACAATGGAACTAAAAACAAAACATTATTTCTACATTATCTTCTAGAAAGTGGTACTCTTCGAAATTTCAGCACGAGACAGAAGGAATTCTCTTTATAAAGTAGTCAAAATGATGTGCAGAGGTAAAAAAACCTATTTATCCATCTCTAAGTTAGCCTAAATAAGATTTAATCAAATGAACTTCAAAAGATTGAACGCGTCATGTTTCCCTACCCCCTTCCCTCCATTGATGAAGGAAAGGCACTGCCCCTTTTTTGACAACTTTTCCATTACCGTAAATAAAATGAAGCAGTTATCTACTCTGCGGAAATACAAACATTCGCATGTATCAATACACACTTCAAATATCCTTCAATTTTTTTCTATCGCAATATGATAAACAAAAAATTGTAAAAAGTGATTCCATTTTTGTGGAATAACGTGAACAATTCGAGTCAAAATGGTGACAATCCAGTATGTTGCTTCATACTAGTGTCATAGCATTCACGTTACCGTATTTTAACATCTATCCTTTGCTTGTCAAAAGAATGCATCGCATTTTCATTTGTACGCATATGACACAGTTGGCATTCTGTTTTTCTCTCTTTTTTAAATACATTTCATTTTCAGATTTCTGATACCTTGATAAAATCGGAACGATTTTTGTGGGTGATTGTCTATAGCCATTTTAGATATCGTCTGTTATTGACTGCACGCATCTACATGGAGAGAAAAAAATAGCCCTGCATTTTTGTGCAAAAACCAGTAAACTGCTTAAAAAAGTAAACGTTGACAGAATGTTTAAATGTAGTTGTTTAGGTGAAAACTGATGACTCGGGTTGTCATTATTATTATTTTTTTCCATGTTGCTTTTCCACCTAAGAGAATAAAGCGATACTGGAATTGTAGGGGATTTTATAGAGTTTGACTTCATAAATTTTTTATTGCACATTTTTGCAGATATTTATACAGATGTATTTACCAAGAAATAGGTAAATGTTCCCACTACCTGTGGATTTGCAGGAGGAAAACGTTGCGATAGTTTTTTTTGTGATGTATATAATCAGATTATATTATTATTCCCTAAGATTCACGACGTAACATAGGTTTTCAGTAGCACAGCCCGGTTTCTTTTTGTTCTTTGCGCTTCTTTTTAGCTGACTCCACTACTGCCCTGTTCAGTTGGTCTTTTCCATTCAGCCAGTGGACATATGTCCAACTCTTCGTTTCTTGTCAGTATCCGATGCATCTCCACTTCCTTCAGCATGCTTTTCAGGCGATAGGTTTCTAGTTGGTTCATTGTCGGATTGATGTGTTGCTTGTCATTCCTGGCTGTCCATTTGGTCTTCAGGATGGAGAGAAGTAAGCAACTGCTGATAGAAGTACTCGGTCTGTAGGAAATGCTCTGCATGATGCTTACACTAAAGTCTGGGAACCATTATTGATACAGATGTGAAATTTGTTCTTCATGTTGTTAACAGCAGATTTCTACGCTAATGTCAGGCCAGTGAAGGTTTGTCATGCCTTGTCGATCTTCGTTCGCTTTGGAGATTCTCATCCATGCCATCTGTTGTCAGAATTGTGGTGCCCAGCCAAGAAAGTGAGAAAAAGATGACTTTCTTTAGATTTCCCACACTGATGGTGATTTATTCTTTCTATTGTTGATTGGTGGGGGTAAATTTATCATCCACTTTCTCTTTTTTCAGTTGAATTCCTGTCTTTGCTGCCTTGTCTGCCAAATTGTTGATTTACGTCAGCAGATCAAGTCTTAGCAATATATCCTGTATTAAATCGATACGGGTATTGGAAGCCCGATGCTGAAGCGTACCATTTTATCACAAATTGATATCATTCAAAAAGAAATATCGAAAACCAGAAGAGAATTGGCTCATTGTTTCGTCATGGTTTGTAAGTGTTCAGCAGTGAGCACTGATAAATTATCGGCGGATTGATAGTATGACCCTAAAGTCATTAGGTGACAATGCTGCGATTCAGACACAAGAACGGAATCCAGAAGCCTATATATTGTAATTTCTGTCACTTCAAACAATCAAATCCTTACAGATGAACACTTGGAAATTGATTTACATCTCCATAACGACTGAAGAGAAGACTTTGAACCAGACGTTGTAACCAGTGAGATCTACCAAACCTGATGTGAGAGCAGATACTCGCTAACTCTATTGGACGACGACAGCGCTATAATGCAAAGTGATCGATTGCTTAGGTCATAGAATTCTGTTCCAAAGATTGAATGTCAATATATTGCCTCATAACTCGAAGCTTCTAAGCTGCTGAAGGGCCCAAATTAGGAGAAGACAGCTGCTGTCCAATACTCGGTGGTTTTCAACTGTCCTCTTCAACCGATATCAATCCCCATTTGAACCTAAAACCAATCAAATCCGTAGAAACTTATACTTTATGTGTAATAATGATAATAACAGGAATTAACGTCTGAGGAAATCATTCATATAATTATATTTGTAAATTATTGTAAATAACCAAAGGGAATTATCCATAGAAAAAGAAGGAGAAGAAACTGTTTTACAATAATTTTTCCCTAAAAAGGTATGCACAGAATTTTCTTTTATGCATAAATATATATGTGTATATACAGATTACTGGTTTGACAAATCAACACATTCTGACAGAGTATCAGTCATAAATATGCATGCGACAAAGTAGTGACTTGAAATCGTTTAGGATATTACTGAATGAGCTGAAAATCGGTGAATAATCATTTTATACTGAAAGTTTTTATACCGAATGTCCATGGTCAAAATGTTTTTATCCTTCTGTGGGAAACAGGCTTGTTTTCTTCATCGCGAATATATTGGTCCAAGAGTTTCTTTTAAGTTTACATGGATATGGCATCTTCAGAATTAACCAGGAGTTATGCGTAATGAAGCATTTCGAATTTTCGATGGAATATCTCCTGTAAAAGACAAAAAGACAATTTATTTCAGAGTAACACACAGCTATAAAAAACACTTATAAGATAATCGGTTTCATGTGAAGACCTCTAGTCTGTACAGATAGCAGAAATCGACATAAAAATGATGGCTTACTTCTTACTAATCAGTAGCTTCGTTGCAGAATTTTACCAACAGCTACCTACTTCGCTGCCTCCATACTGAAGATCAAATGGCCAACTGTCCAGAAAGAACTGGCAACAAGAAAATCTGCCTGGTAACAAACCAACCAAGAGCAGATTGCTCAAAAAATATGTACAAGAAAATGGAGCTGGACTTGGCTTACGATGAGGAGGTCGTCGAATGACATCACTCTCAATGCAGGCCATCGCACAAGTGGAATCGCAATGGGAAGCGACGAGTGGCTCGCGCGTGCGAGCGTAACATGTAAGATATCGTGAGAGGAGGAGAAGGAGGTGATAGATTATGGGCAGTCGTTGGGCTAGCCAGCTGAAGAGGATAGCAGAAAATAGATTAAGGTGGAGATGTGTTGTTGAAGCTCGGTGTGCCACTCGGAACGAAAGGGAAAAATAATAATAATGCTTACGACATATTTTATGATTTAACACACTAGATGGTGCCTGTGCAAACATATGAGAATGTATATGTATGTAGTATCGACTTTAAGAATGTTCCTAGTATCTTTATACTGGATTTTATAGTAGTTTATATATGTCTCACAAAATATAACATGTATATGTGGAAACCAGCAAGTCGACAGAAGAGGCAGTGAAGACTGATGGAGATACCTAGCCACTTTGAATGGGAGAAGTGTAAGTGAAGTCATATTGTTCTCTTAACTTAGTATCATCGTTTCAACTACAGGAGGCAAGGCTGAGAGTGTCAAAGGCAGATGACTGTTACTCTGAGATCAGTATGGAAACCACCTGCACTCAGCTTAAGGAACAAGATTCATCACTAGCGAACAAGACTGAGATTTCCAACAGTAATGCTATTCCAAGTCTGTACTTCTATATAGTTAATCAGACTCAGTACCGACATTACGAAAAGTATTTCTTAAGGCTGCTTACATTGATCAGCAGTTGCTTTTACTACCTGGATTCGGAAGGTCACATTATCAGGAACCATTAACATCAAGGAACTCCTGAAATCTACCGTTCTAAGTTCTGTTGAACACTAAATGTGCCAAAGGAAACTGGAAATGATTGGATATACTCTAACCACACTGCTGAGAAGTACCACACTCTAGCAGGCTGTCCATTGGAACCTAGATGGGAAATGAGAACTTTGACGTACAGGGTGAAATGAAGAAGACGGAAACTTATGGGCGATAATGGAGATAACTACGAAGGACTCCAGAAAACAGGATAAAATGGGCATGTGTTGTTTAACGCTTATGTCCGACTCTTCCAAATTCCTATGCCCCAAGTTTATACTATTCAGACTTCTTAAACTAACTTATCTAACCAGCTTCTAATGAAATGACAGGAAGATATTAGCAAGAAATCGGTAGGAATTGCAAGAAATTTCACTTACATGATTCTTTACTCTTGTGCTGTACAAATAATCACCCTAGTTTCATGATGTATTCAATTATTCAAACATGCTGGATAAGATTGGATAGGATTAACCGCCTGATGCATTTCTGTATTAAAGTAATTTGAACATGCTTTATAAGGATATTTAAAATCTGTACAAATTGATTCGTCATGTGCAGTCGATATCACATTCATTGTGTCGTGATGAGATCGAGGAATGAAGATTTTAATTTTTCTGCTGCCTAGTGTATCATTATAATGATTCGTATCATTACTACTGATATTGTTATCAATACTATAATTGCAATAATTAGTTCGGTTAATGTTACTGTTATTATTATTAGTAGTAGTATTACAATTATCTACTGAATAATTATTACGATTATCCATATATGTGAAGTAATCCGGGGAATTTCTTCTATCCATATGAAAATTTCGAGTATTCGGTGATGAGTAGATACTGCCATTTGGATAATTTAGCAGCTGTAAGCTTGAATTGCCGCCATTCGCGGAGAATTGTGATAAACAGTCGGGAAGTGGTTGGATAACTGCAAAACGGAGTATTATAAGGGAGAAAAAATAAAATAATTTTGGTTGAATTCCATATACGAAGCAAAGCAAAGATTGTTTCACTTCAGTTTCAGTTTCTTAAACATTATCACGTAGTAAAATCGGTGAACGTGGTTATACAGAAATGTAATCGATTCTCCTTAATTGGCTTGATGAACACACTCTAAAACCGGTGCGTAGTAACCTGTCAGGACTAAAAATGACATCCCGACACATGACGCTGATTGGTCCTTATACATTATCTGCTTTAGGTTTACAGATGCATCTTGCAGACGAGTACCGATAAGCACGAAACTAAGTTTCAGAGGTTCCTGCTGATTGCTCGCAGTCTCTTCGTGTACATTCAAAAAGCACTATGGCGGAACTTAGGGAATTCCACTAAACATGGGCACAGTTTTAGTCTATCATTAAATACCTAATGTGTTGTGGATTACTGATATTGAGGCACACATGAGATCATTATCTCTCTCTCCTGTTAAAAAACCCTGATTCTGTTTAGGAAACAGAGTGATCATTAACAGCTGGCTCTGTAATGATATTAGATGGTTTGGGGCGATCGGCGAGTTGCAATCTAGACTTAGGCTTCGTGCTAGTTGACACTCACCATTCAGCAAGGCGTATCTGCAACTTTGAAGGAACCCATGTCCCTTCTGAGATTCTAAGCCACTGTGATATACTTTCATTTGAGTTATTCCTAGTCAGGCTAATTTCAGAAGGCTGCTTTATACTACTGATCGGTTTGTATATGGGGAGACCACTGAGTGCTTACTAACCAGGTCATACTGCTAAAAGTTCTGCTTGATTCCGTCGTTTGGAGCTCAGCTTATAATCAGTGCATACAGTAAGAATTTGCTAAAACAGCTAAATTATTTCAGACAGCCTGAATTCCAAATTAACCACTTGAAAAACTAATAATGTGAATTGGTTACAGGATTTCATCGTGAGCTGAGATTGGTTACAGAACCTGGGAGTACTGGACAGCTATTTCGTCCCACTAGTTTGGGACTCTTCACCAGTACGCACCCACTGGACTTCGAACTCAAACAAACAAAACAGTTTAAAGTGAAAATTCAAAACAGCTCCCGTGGTAAACGAACATCAAAATGATTTCTCATCTGCTTGGTATCATTAAGGGCAAACCAAAACACAAACTCTGTAGAAAGATCTGGCAAGCAGACATTACTACTTGAGTTTGATCAGTAGTATGTTTATTCATGCATAACAATACAAACTTGATCAATTATTGGTACCAAAAGATGCGCCGCACAAAACCTCATAGTTTTTGCAAAGACTGGCATTCAATCAGGCTGTTTGTTTGTCTTAAAAGGCTACCCTCGAGCCTTCGGCCTTAATTTTGGCCCATATGGTAGTGGAGCAGTGTCTGAAGCTACGTTTGCGTGGTTTCTCGCAGCCATGCTTTCGGATTCAGAGTTTTCTAGGTATCCTAGGCAGACCTTGTCGTCCATCAGTCCGGTTATAAGCACCAGACATTAGTAATCACCATTTCAATTTTATGGGAAAGTTTCAAATTCAGAATCAAATCATTGAAACGCTGCAACGAAGTCAAAGAACTAAAACCCACTAACTCATCACCATAACACATAATTGTCAGTACAGAAAAAATAACACGCAAAATATATCTGTTACTGCTACCTCCATATCCTCCAGGAATTGTACCAAATTCATAACTGTTCAGCTGATCCACTTTTTGCCAACTTAAAGGTGAATTGGTCATATTCGTTTCACCGTGATTAATATTGTTATTATTATTATTAATATTATTACTATTTCCATTTCTATCGATTGCAATAGGTACATGTCGAAAATTACGCTGTTGTTTATTTTTACGTAGAAAAACAAAGACGAAAGTTATCAGTACAGTTGATATAATACAAGCCGACGCAATAATTCCAACAATAATATAAAAGTTCAATGTATATCCGCTAGCACCAAAGTTGAAAAGCCCACTCAATCCGTTGAAATTATACGCATCCATAGTTAAATAGGCTTTGGAGGCGGATTGATCAATTTCTATGATTAATTCTGCCATTGTAAAACGATATGGTTGTCCACCATCTCTTGCTTCTATTCTCAGTATATGTTCACCTATGGCTGAGTAGGATATTTCTTTGTTAACACTTAATACTCCAGTGTGTTTATTCAATTTGAAATAGCCTTCATTATTACCAGAATGAATGAAGTAGGCGATAGTACCATTTTCACCAGCGTCGTCATCTACAGCTTGGATCTAAAATGAAAACAAAAGCATAATTTTTTAGAATACTTGACCAAAAGATGGTATATATCTTACTGCCAAATCAGATGATCGTTTAAATTGCAACATTTTTCAATTGCAGTTAGCTCGTGAAAACATATAGCCTTGGTACTCACAGGTAATCCACAACGGAAAACTCAGAGAGGCATTAGAAGTAAACACAGGAGTATGACAAGCTGGCTGCCTATTATTGCTAATGACATTTTGAATTGTTGTGGACTGGATTGTGCGTCAGCCTATGCTTTGGGAGAGAAGAGACAGGAATATGCTGGACGACCGATAAGAAGTCTTCAGAAGATCTAGACTTCGCAGATGATAATATGTATACTGTCGCACAAACTTGAAAACTTGCAGGCAGGTGGAAACCAACAAAGTGGCAGAAGAGACGGGCAGCGAAGACAGGACTCCAGGCAAACATAGAGAAGACGGAGTTGATGATGATAACCAGCTGAAAAATCAACAGTAATAATAACCAGCTGTAATCACCATCAACGAAAGACACTTGTAAGAGGTTACTTCCTCCACTTTTCCGGCCATGAAACACAGTCTTAACCACAGGCGAAATGGATGAAGGTGCTAAAATCAACCAGAATCGGAAAGGCAAGATATGCCTTCATCAACCTACAACTAGTATGAACATCTCCAAACTCTGAAGCATAGAGAACAAGATTCGGATTCTCAGCACAAATATTGAGTCAGTCAGTTCTATATGGGTCAGAAAAATGTACTGCGTGTCAAAAAAGACATTTCCAGGAGATTGCAGACTATTATCAACAGCTGCTTTTGCTCCATACTGAAGGTCGAATATCCAGCTGGCAAGAAAGAATTAGCAACAAGAAACTCTGCCTAGGAACAAACCAGCCAAGAGCTGGTTGCTCAACAAACATGCAGAAAAAAATGGAAATGGATTGGGCATACGTTGAGGAGGCCGTTGAATGACATTGCGCGCAATGCAGGTGACGTGGAAGAGTTTTTTGATTTTAGCTTGAAACCACACAGTATTTTTGGTACAGGTATGGAATTTCCAGCATGTGATATCGGTAGCCCAAATTTTGCAGACCGACCAGAGATATCAGTTGTGCGTGGGTAGGGGGTCGAACCCTGGATCATGTGAATGGTCAGCGAGAGTCCTAACCACTGTGGCACCGATCGTATGGAGAGGAAGATTTGAGAGGTTATGGGGAATCAAGGACCCAGCTGAAGAGGACAGCAGAAAATAGAACAAAGTGGAGAAATTTGGCGGAAGCCCTGTGTTTCACTCGGAACCCAAGGGAATAATAATAATTAGTGCTTTTAGATCATCATTTTTTGTCACGGAATAAAAACTTTCATCAACATTTAGTCTAAAAACTCTACACAGATTTGCTTCCTAAAATCCATGATAGCATTCCTCATGTTTTGCCTGAAGTTGAAAACATTTAAGTGCTTCAAACGAAATTCCAATTTCGGCGTTATTAATTAAGTCTCATACGCTAACAAAAGTGTATATTTGTAATTCCATAGGCTCGTTTCCCTATGAAATTAGGGGGTAATCTGAAATTCTTTTGATAGGATGCACAATATCACCTATTTGGGACACATGAGATGAATTTTTCTGGATTATTATTGAGCCGTGGTGTCCCATATGAGAGCCAAAAGCCCCCTTTCGTTTCTAACCAGATTCTGCAGAAACTTCAAAATGTCATAAAGACAATGTGGAACTGTCTTAACCGATTACACACAGTAATACATCATCTGGCTATTACCACATCATTGCTGGTGACATTCAGAAAGACATTTAACTTATATCTCCCTTGGAAAAAAGTGGCGTAACTCTTGAGAAACATGATAGGGGTACACATTTGGCCTATTATTTTGCATTCATGATTCCATACTGTCGTAAAAATGAATTATGACAAAATGACACAAGGATATATAAAGTCTTAAAAATGTTGGCTATATTCAGAGGTCAACGTTATGCTCCCACTTTTAGGGAGCGGTAAAATAAAGTTAGAAGAAACTATTACCTGTGTATAGGTAGTTACCCATGAAGTAGCAGATGACAGGCACAAAAGTGGAAAATTTTTAAGTTTCAACAATTTCCTGGTACTTATGTTTTCCTTACAAGATGCTGTGTAAATCAAGCCAAATGTTATCAAGGAATTTCTATAGTATTCATTTCAAATTTGACCAAATTTACTGCAGATAAATTTCGGTTAAACGCTGAAATGGATGGAGGATCTCATCTTGATTTCATCCCCATCCAGTCAAAATAAATCCTTACAAAACCAAAACTTGAAATTGCTGAATTCTCCCCGATAATTTACATTAAGGTTATAAGCAGACAGTGAAAATCTAGTGTCATTCTATGATGATGATACGACAGTCTCTCAACATCCCTTTGAATCAGAACTTTAGAAGTACGAATAAAATAACAAATCAAAAAATATTTGATTGCATGCAGGATTTCATCATGAGATTACATCAGTTAGAAAACCACTTTAAAACCTGAGATTACTGGACAGCTGTTTCGTCCTAGTTTGGGACTCTTCATCAGTGCGCAACCACCGAGTTTCAAACACACGAGCTTCTGGTTACAAGGCGAGCTCGTAGACCATTGAGCCACTGGGACCCGATCCAATTGTCCCTGAATTCTAACTTCTGCAAATTCACAAGAGTGCAACCATTTCGCAGTGTCTTCTTCGAAGAAGGACTGCCTCATCTTTAACGTGCTACACCCTAATGGTCTACGAGCTCGCCTTGAAACCAAAAGGTCCTGGGTTCGAACCCCGGTGGTTGCGTACTGATGAAGAGTTCCAAACTAGGATGAAACAGCTGTTCAGTAATCCAATGTTTTCCAGTGGTTCTCTCACTGATTTCAGCTCATGATGAAATCCTCCATGCAATCAAGCAAAACCCCTACAAATCCATTACTCAAAAACATTTATTTCCTCATAACATTCTTACATCCTAACTCGAGTAAACAGTGGACAGAATGTGAGTGCTGAAACAGTGACTCAGTCAGTCATTCAATACTTTAATTGACCACTAGTTGGTGACTAGTGTCATATGTCTAGTCCCGTGTTCGAGTGAATTCCCTCAATCAAGTTTCCAATGTGGCCACCATGCTTGGTGGCTCGCCATCACAGCGCACTCAGAATTTTTGTTATTAAATGGTTTGGGGAAATCGGTAAGATGCTTGCGATCTCGGTTTCGTGGTTGTTGCTGCTCACCAGCTAGACATATCTGTATTCTAGTAGGAATTCATGTCATTCCTATGATTCGAATCCGCATCAGTCAGAGCTGAAATATTCCCTATCACACTAGGACAGTTGGGGTTGTCCGAAAATGGGTGTTGATGTTAACTATAGTCTACTAGAATCGGTTAACTTTTAAATGATATTATGGGGAACTGTTCAAACAAATCGGATAGTAAGTGGTCTAGGAATTGGACACATTTTATTGTAATGTGTATTTGAATTGCCTAGCAGAAGAGAAGACGTTCATCGAAGAGACTCTTTTCAGCGAATTCATTCACATAGCTGTACAATCGCATTTATATATAATTATGTGTGTGTGTGTACATTAGTTTTGTCAAGTTTAGATAATTGATCAGGTAATACAAGAATGATCTAATATAGAAACTAGGTGAATCAGAAGGCAACTAAAGTAAGATTGAGTTAGTAAGTAAGATGACCTGATATAATTGACTAAAATGTTTCAACTTAGGACAGGGTAGCAACAGAGGTGATTACAGGTAGAGACTAAGTAAAAGTGAGGTAGAGAATAATGCCATTTAAATTAGAACTGAAATTGAGCAAATAAGTTGGATGACGTAACATGAATGACTAGAAATTGAACGTTGTTCAAGTCAGTAACAGTGGTAGTGAGGTGTATAAATTAAATCGGGTGGGGGTAGAGAACAAGAAAGTTTAAGATGTAAAATATTATAACTGAGAAGACAAAATAATACTAATGAAGAGAATGTTCATTTAAAAAATACGAGTGTTTATTTTTAAGAAGGGTTCAGTTGTGTAATTTGATACATTTTAATTTACGACTAGGTCATATCACCTCTCAGCACTGACCGAACCTCCATTGTTCTTCTTTTGATTGCACGTAATTCGACCTATACATTATGAATTCTTACTTCTATACGGCATTGTTAATTACTACTCATCTCAATTGCTAAAACTGGTGTAAATACGATAGAAATATATGTCACACAAGAACCGATTTTGTTTTGACGCACTCGATATCCGAATCTGCTTACCCCCTGTTATTTTACAAACCAATTATAGCCCTTAAATTTCTCAAAGGTTTGGTTTATCAGTTAGAGAAGTACTGATAAAGGGGAAGTACCGGACAACTGTTTTATCCTAGTTTGGGATGCACTCATCAGTTAAGTGATTCAATATAATTCAATCGGATTTGTGTGATTCGAGAGCCGGTAACTAATCTTACTATTAGGATGGCGTCGCTGGACTAATGGTGAGAAGTGTTAACCAGTGAAGTTCACTAAGTGAGGATAATTAGTCACCAATGACATTTGGTTGGCAGTGGCGTAGTATATCACGATATGGCAGACGATGGAATTTATCTGTCTTTGAGTAGTGCCCCAATAACTGAGTTTTTAAAGGATTTGTCTCACAACCTGAAAGCTTTGAGTTCACTCAGTGTCTTATTTAACTTTATATTCACAATGGATTATTTTATGGTATAATTTACGTTTCGTGTTTGATGACTGCCATCCACTAGTGTTATACATTCAATTTGCAGTGATATCAGTCTATAGTTTTATCAGTTGACCAATGGGTGAGTTCAGTGAATCTCCAGCCATCTACATCAACCTGGATTAATTTTTAGGACTATTATCTCACATTAAAATGACAAGCTAATAATGCTTTATCTATCCTCACATGACTAGTTATCTATCTGTTAAAGCAATGCATGAAAAAATGTAGATTTCGATAAACGTTGAAAAATTGACTAAG